AGTAATCAGAAAACATGTTTATATACCATCTGCCACCAGCATGTTGTACAGATGAGCTGGCAGACTCACGTCTTCAGTTCACCTCTAGATCAAGAATAAGGGTCCCCTATCACAGGTGATTTGCTAAACCCTCTGTTGCAGGTTCCAACACAAAGTCTGCTTGGGGCTGGCTTAGGAACAAACACCAGGAGAAGAGAATAAAGCAATGCACACATCTGTCCTCAGCTGGTGCCAAACAGCAAGTGTTAACTGAGCCCATGAGGTGGTGCATAAGGTCTCCAGCCCCTTGCAAATGTGCTAGGGCCCAGGGGATGTGAGCACAGTGTGCAGCACCACACTGAAATAACATATTCCTAATAAGCTGGACCTGGAAACCCTGTGTGGTATCCTACAGTGCAGAGCATACATGCCTATACTATCTCTTGTAGATGGACATTGAGCAGGGACCACTCTCAGACCTCCGTGTGGTAAATAATGGTGATATAGGATATGCCTATAGTAATGTGCATGGCCCTTATTTGAGGGCTGAGAATCCTTAATGTAGCCTCCTTGAAGGGAGATGCTCCTGTTCCCACTTACAAACATTAATATGGAAGTACTGAGTGTCAAAGGAAAGTATCATTGGTGGAAGCTGTGGAGAAAGCTGTAATGTGCACCTGCCCTTCGAAGTCTCACAAAGGCTTTTGGAGATGTATAGAATACGTAGGAGAAGAGCAGAATGATGAATAGTGAGCGATCAGGATGTTATTTTGGCTTTGGGCAAACTTTAATCTTTCTTTTTCTGGGAGAATACTATTCCTGGTGTTTTTTGTGTTTTCTGTTAAGAACAGGCTCTGAAATTCCACAGATAATGCATTTTCCTATATTTGCCCTAAAAGAGGGAAAAAAAAGAGAAGGACATTTGTGAAACTTTGTTTCTTGTGGAAGACAGCAGAAAACTTGAGACCAAAGCATCGAATGTTTCACTTCTCATCAAATGCATGGAAATGTCATTTTTTTCCAGGTCTACCAGAGCCACAAATATGTTAATATAAGCTGATACTACCAGTACAGCTAATGGACCAGATTAGCTGGCATTGCCCTGTGGTGTACTTGTTACCCTAGCAGCTTGCCAACCGTGGTATCATTTTCCAGATGATTTGTATGGAACTATGGCAACTTATATCCACTGGAGGTCTAGCCAACTCAACTGACACGCACCCAGGAGGACCTGGATTTGCATAGCTCATAAAACCAACCTGGAGAAATGGTTAAATGTCTCACCTTCACGTCAGGTCCTCAGCATTGCATTACAGGACAAATTTTTTTCTGTGGCAATGCATTGCCACCCGATGACCTTGTGACATACTTGGCAAACCTCCACAGCAAAGACCCAGGCTGGTGAAGCTATACTGATGGAAGGAATACAACATTGGTATTTTCCTTTGCAGGACAGCCACAAAAAGAAAGACAAGGGAACAGAAGAATGAAACTAGAAGAACCCTTAAGATGAAAGAAGAGATGGGGTCATTTCTGAATGACTGTAACAGAATTTAACTAAGGCTTCTGATCTGTGACAACCTTGAAATTCTATAGACACCGTGTTTTTTCCCCACAGCCTGCCAAGACCTTGCTGACACATCCAGCACAAAAAAAGAATCAGCATACACTGTATCCTCAAAGGTTTCTGGATAATCGTCCTCTAGCATATTTAATGCTTTAGTGTGCACAAGCAGAGAGTTCTATCTTTTTCTATCTAATGAGAAGCAAGTTAGTCTTTCCATCTGCCATTTGGTTCTCAGACTGAACTTACCCATTACACCTTCTTTTTTGTGCCTTCAGACAGAGTGAACTTTTCTAAGCGTGCTGTTTGTGTTACCTTCAGGTCTCCTCCATTTAAGGCTCTCTGTCTACAGAAGGAAAGACCCATCTGGGCCCTCAATTGCTTTCATGTTCTCTATCAATAAAACCAAGGGAATGATAAGTATCTTGGTCCTGATACAGTGCACTTTTCCTCATTACAGCCAGTTTGTATGTATGTATGCACACAGTCTGTGTACAGCTTTAAAAGGTACACCCTTGTTAGCTTCAGGCACTGTTTTCTGGGCACTGGTGTCTCAGCTAACAGTATTTTCAGTTTCAGGCAATGCAAACTCCATTGTCTGCCTGTCTCTGCTAGCACTACCATTACTCATGCCTTGGGGCAGATCGTAGGGGCAGTGGGGCAGCTGCCCATCCCAAACACACGACAGGGACTGTGCTGCAGCATTTGTCCCTCCAAGCCTTCATTCAGCCTTGTTTTGGCAGAGCACTCAGCTTTGCATACTATTTTTTGCTGGACGCTGGCTTTGAACTCGGCATTGCCTTTCGACTTCAATTCTCTTGACAAATGGCTACATTGAATCCATGCCTGCCCATAGCCCCTCTTTATTTATTTATTTATTTATTTTTCTCTTGGATTTTAACCACTTTTGGGCTGCGACCAGGGGCTTCGACAGGCATCTTCAAAGCAACCTGTTTCGGTCTTCAGTTTGAGTTCAGTTGTAAGTTATTTTGTGGCCAGCCTTCTTTGTGCAATCTCTGCTTTAGAGCATATTACTTATATGTTTCTTCTTTGTGGGTAGAGAAAAAGGCATTCCTCTGATTTCTGGCCTGTGGTATCAGAGCTAGCTTTTCTCCCTGCCAAGTAGATCAAGCAGTTCAGGACTAACAGCTGTCAGACATAAGGCTGCCTGTCTGACTCGTCCTACAGATATCCTATAGCTTTCTAGGTAGAGCACGGAGTACTATAAAAGCTTATTGTATTTTTAGTACTTCACTCTTGGTGAAATATCCAACTGTTTTGTTCAGCCACCAACTGTCATTTTTTTTTTCCTTGTGTGCAGCAGCCATCTAATACTTGCATAGGCTTCAGAGAAACCTGTCTCAGATGCACCTGCTTTCCACAGCTGCCCTTGATTGGGGGGAGATCCTCCTTTGAAAACGTAATTACAGGAGCACAACCCATCTGGACCTGATTAGCTTGGAGGGAGGAGCTGGCATCTGGTGTTAATACAAGGAGAAAGAAGCAAGGAGAGTGGTTTTCTACACAACCTTCTAGGGAGGAAGGAGGTAGGAATGGAGGTGGAGAAAGATGTTTTTCAGGAAAAGGCTGAAGGATGGTGCTAAGGCAGAGGTGCTTTTCTGAAAGCATCTATGAATCAGGGCTGAGTCAGTCTGTAGTTAGTAGAAGTTTTAGTATGTTGGTTTCCTAAGCTATATGATATAGACTGATGAGGAAAGGGTGAGGTCTTCAGAAAAGTGTGCTTGTTTTTGTTGGTTAGATGAGAGAAGGTACACAGCGAGGCTGGAAGGTGTTGAGGGATAACTGGGGACTCTTCTGTGGTGCCTGTGAGTCCAGACTGAGCGATGAAGAGAAATTTGTAGGCAAAGTTCTTAAGGAGAATTCTGTAGGGAGAGCTGATGGTACAAGAAGTTTGCAGAAGAACTTGAGGGATAACAAATGTGGGACAGTTAGGATGTGTGCCTTAATATGCTGTAGTTAGGCGCTGAATAGCATGAGGATGCTGTAGGGGCATATAACCGTACATAACCAAAGAACCACAATACTGGCAGTGGTCTTCCTGTGCATCTCAGTAGCCCAGGAGTAACTCAAATCCTCTGATTCCCTGTGCTCGGAGGTGGATTTAGCAGATAGGCAGGAGGGGTGAGAACTGCAGCAGTTCTATGAGTCTTGGAAAACAAGTGACTGAGGAGAAGGGAAGTTCCTAAGCCTCTGAAAGAATATGAAATTACTGATTCTCCTTCGTAAGACTGACTCAAGTCTTCTTGATGTACCAAAGGCAAAAAAAAGAGGAAGGGGAAAAACCAAAATCAGTGCAGTAGCACACTGCAAATGGGTTCACTGTGGGACTGCAGTTGACTTAATAGTATATAACGGCCCATAGTGCTCGAGTGACTTTGCTGTATTTGTGTGTCAGTTCAAGCTCGCCGTGTTGAGTAAGAGATTTACTAGCAAGAAAGTATAATAAAGGCTTTTTCTTTGAAATATTCCCTGGTACTTGTGGGAGAAACGTGGCCTAGCTTGTGCTCTGCAGTGTTGTGGTAGGATGTGCAGGCAGATCAGCATCCCTCAAGCTGGCTAATATCCTCACCAAGTTAAAAGTGACTTGAGGTATCTCCCCTAGCTTTTCCAAAGAGGAGCTCAGAGGGTGATTTTATGGGCACTAGGATAGGGTGGGTTTCCATCTCCTTGATGGTGGGAGGTGGTGAGATGTGCACTGTTTTTGTTGATCCTATGCACCAGGGAAGAAATCAAAGAGCTCTCTAATGCCAAAGATGCCCTCATGTGTATGAACTACTACCATCCATCTTCTTAACTTATAGGGCTGTGTTACTTGTTCTTGTTGGTTTTTACTTAAAGATGTATTCATGCGGACCACTGCAAATTAATATCTAAATTCTCACCCTTCCACTCTAAATCCATTCACTTGTATTTCTTGGATGTATAGCAGCAGCTAATTCATTAGTGTCATTATAAAAATAATTGCACTGCTGACATTAGTGCAGAGAGTGCAAGTCTTGTTGAAGGCCCATGGTGCAGGGTTATACATAGACATGCACAGAGGTAGAACTGCTCTGATCTACAAGCTCTTGGCTGTGAGAGCAAAGTTCCTAAAATCACTCTCATATGGAGCATTCTATTTTTGCAACTCAGCCCAGACTTAGCTCTTTCAGCTTGCCTTTTTCCAGTGAACTCTTTGGATATTCAGCTGAATTAAATTGTCACAGCTGACTCCAGGTTCTTCATTTTCACTGATTACCAGAATTGGCAATTTCCTTCTGACATCAGCATGGGCATTGCCCAAAGAGTGACTAAATGGCACCCTCAGGATTCAGCCCTTCTTAGATTTTAGGAGGTTTTTTTTATTTTGTCTTCCTTTGGTGAGGGTGTGGGAGACTGTTTGATAGAAAACTTTCTGACTCAGCTCTCTTTGGTTTTGTTTTTCTTTCCACGAAAGGTAACAGATGTTCATTGTGACGTGAATGTAATTTCAGTACCTGCAGAGGAGAAATGACGACCGGAGCCACCCGAGCTTAAAGGTTAGTTTATTTCAAATGATTTTGACGTCAATAGGCAACGATATATATAGCAAAATATTTTTCCTCCTTACCACAGCGCCTTTAAAAGGATATCTTTGTTGTGTTAGTTGCCATAGCAGTGACTAGCATGGTTATATATACATGTGTGTATATGTATGAGGAGGGATTCCCCAACCCCAGGGCTGATTGTGTTGGCTTCTGTGTGCTTCTGTGGTTGTATTTCCTCTTCCTTCCCTTGCTTCACATGCTCCAAGGCTCTGAGGCAGCCTGTGAAATGTTTCCCAGTTGGGAAATGAGTATTTTTGGTCAAGCACCTTGAAGCGTGAGCCTTGCTGGGCTTCTAATTGGAGGATATCTCAGAAAGCAGGTTGCAGGCTTCTGTGCTGGTGTCAGGGTAGTTTGTGAGGAGGGCAGATGATGGAGATTTGCAAGATGATGTGGTTCAGAAGTAAACTAGGAGGCTATTGGTAAATGCGTTGTTTATTATGTAGACTGCTTTGCATGTGTCCAGATTGTGATGAAAGGCCTTTGCAATATTTAGCTGATCCTCACCTTAGAATAGATTTTATCTCTGTGCTCGTGTTTCAAAAATGTTCTTCCCTTTCAGCAACATTCTGTCATAGTCCAGAGATTTTCCTGCTGGTGCTTTCTCTCATCTTCCTTCCCTGCTTTTTTCCCTTGTGGTCTGTCGTGAGCACTGTGCTTTGCTAACAGAGGGACTTTGATCCAGATCTGAAATGGCCCCTGAATGCAGAAGCCAAACGTCCGTAAAAGATTTCTTGATCTCCTTTTGACCAAGTTGTCATCTAAATCTGAGCCCTCTTCTATTCTTGAGTTGTACTGTATATGCACTGGCCCCTGCATGCTAAATGAGCCTATCAAGTGCTACAGTTATGTCTGTGATGTGCTCTTCAGTGTCTGTAGCAGTCTCACCTTCTCCTATCCTGCGGTCAGGCAGCTGCAAAATGTGAGCTGGTAATGGTAGGAAAGGAGTGACTGCTTTCCTTCATTCTCCAAATATTGTTTGCTTCACAAGCATCACCAAACCTCAGGATGGTCCTAGATGTGGTGGAGATGTGGGCTTCCTCCTCACTGCTTTCAGTAAGGGGGAGTGGAAAAAGGTTACTGCTATCTGAGAATAAATGGGAGAACCTCTCCAAACTGTGTACAAATCTCGTGTCAAACTGGACTTGACAGAATGTTGGTGAAGGAAGCGCATGTATATACAGCACTGTCTTAAAGAGCAGGAAGTGCTGAGTGAACACCTGAACCAGACTGAGGTGTTGTTGTTGGTTTTTGTTGTTCAAACTTGTGCTTTCCTATGATATATTTTTCTCAGTGATTTTTTTTTTCTTATGTTGAGACTTTTTTTCACTTTCACCTATGCCTCTGCATCAGTGCAGCCAGCTGAAATCCAACTTCATCTCTTTTTGCCTGTTTGTTACCAACGTGTAAGATGCTGGAATGAGGACTTGGCTGGCTATTGTGTTGATGACAAATGAAAGAGAAGCAAACACAGCTTGCTTGTCTGCAGCTACAGTGGTTCAGCAGGGCTGGCAGTAGTAAAGACATGTTTTATCAACAAATAACATGCAACACCAAGCTCTGAGAAGAAGCTGAGATGGACGCTATCTCAGTGTGATCGTCTGCCTGTCATGCCTGCATGAAATGTCAGCTTACTGTGCTGACTTAACCTATAGGAGTTGAGATTGGGCATGGTTTCAGGTGGGTTAGATCAACAGAGACACTGTAAGTGCACGTTGTTACTTTCTCCTCACTACTTGTCATGCCCCTTGTAGAAGTGATGTGTATGCGCATATACACTCATGCTTTGGCTGCCTAGCATGCATGCTTCCGTGTTTTAGCCTTTATATACCTAATATATATGTGTGTATCTAGGTAAAGAGCCTTATATGAGAATGAAGGCAGTATGTCCCAGTGCATGTGGCAGACAATTAAGCTTCAATCCCGCTCTGCCAGTTCCTTGTGGGCTCATCTCGCCAGTGTTATATCACTTCTTTCCCTTTGTGTAATTCCTGCTGACACTGCAGGCTCTTTGTGCTTCAAGTGTCTGTCTTTGCATTGAATATCCCTGGTAAACTGTGCTGTGCCATACTGCAGCCCCTTCAGGGCAGGATGCTGAGGGTTTTTATTCTGGGTGATGGGGGAGATTGTCCTTTGTAGCACATATAAGTTCCAAGAAGGGATGACAGAGTTTGATGTGGTGTCCCAGCTGTGCACGTGTGTGAATGATGAGGTTATTGGATGGGAATGAGAGTAACAGTGACAAATTTGAGGATGTCCCCAAGTGTGGTGTGAGCATGGGACCCGATGAGAAGGCAGTGAGGAAACCTCCATGGAGAAAGCATCTTAATTCACATCTCTGCCCCACTGCTTGTGCATACAAAGAGAGCGGCTCCAACAAAGCTCTGTGGGAAGGGGTGCTGGAAAGCAGAATGTATCAAATTCTCGTAATTACGGTGGTAGCTAGAATAGTAAGAGACAGAGTTTGGACCATAAAGCTGGCAGCCTAAATAGCCAAGAGGTGCGGGACAGTGAGGAACGTGGAGTTGTGGAGGCGAGACGTGACTTTCCTAGGTTACATGGTGGGGTAGCAGGGTAGCCAAGAACAGTGGCCTGACTCCCTAGCCACTATCTTTGCAACACGACCACACTCCCCTCAGTAATAAGAGCCATGCTGAATCTTTGACAAGAGCCAGCTTGGCTCTGCTTTGAGTGGTCACCATTTTTGAGGTTTTCTAGGGGGGGGAAAAAATACCAGTTCAACAGTAAATAAACCCGTTCTTTCCTAGTTTTACACAGCAGCAGAAGTACTAGAAGTGCTAATGTTGGGAAACCAAAAGTATTGTTGGCTTTTTTCATTGCCCTAAACCTATCAGGAGGTGGAATATCTCAGCTTTTATCTTTCAGGAGAAATGTCTTTTCTGAAGTTGTCGCCTCTATTTTTGAAGTATCTTGGATGTTGGGTGCTTGTCCAAGACTTCTTGAGGTTTGCTTACTATAGACATCATGGGCAGGGATGCAGGACTGTAGCAAACCTGGCTCCTCAGCAGTGTGAAAGATTGCTTTGATAAGTCAAAGCCCTGCAGTAAGTAGTCTTCATCTCATCAATTCATGCATTTGGATTTAATGAAATGATTTATTAATTGCACACAAGTGACCTCTCCCTTAAAAATATAGCCACCCACCCTCAAGTACTTTGCATGACAGTAAGTAAATTGGTGTGGAGTTTATGAACATGAGGGATGCTGGTCCAGGCTCGAAACAGCAGAGTCCAGTTAATTTTGAGAGCTGGATCTCCACAAAATGTTCACAGCAAAGCCCCAAACTAGGTGCAATAAACCTAACGCCAGCCAAGTTTGTAAACCTGGGCTGAATTGCAGGAAAGCTTTGGGCCAGGTTTTGAAGAAGCCGTGGGCCAGGTTTCCAGTTAGCTTGAAGCCACTTTACAAAATAAATAAATAAAAAAGGATTCTGATCAGCTTTTGATTGTCCCAAGGGCTATTCTTCAAGGGCTTTCCACCAGCCAGGATTTGAGCTCACTGCTGCCAAATCCCAGACCTACTGGGGGCTGAGTGGTGGCTGTGTCCAGAGGCAAGTCTTGGTCATGTCTGCCCCCGAACCACATAGGACCGATGCCCCAGGAACGTGCTCACAGCCCGGGCAGACAGCTTCCCCTATAGATTAAGGTGGTTTCATTTTCATCGGGTTTCAGCACTTGGCCTTTTGGGCTGGATTTCACGCCAAGTTTTCCAATCCAAGAGGCCCGCAGGGCTTGTGGACATGCAAAACCACCAATGTAACGAAAATTGGTTTAAAATTGATTTAGTTTGGAAAAAAAAAAAAAAAAAAAATCCAAGCCACCATGTGGAAACATTTAGAAGAGTCAGTTACCAAGTTTAGCTAAATGGAAGTAAATGCATTTAAATATGTCCATACAGAGCACTGGAGAAAGTAAATCTATTTACCATGAATTTTAATTAAACCAACCAAGTACTGGTTTAATAACCACCAGTGAGTGAAATTTGCCAAAGGACTGATATCCCTGCTTGACTCCCTGAAAATGCAGTCTTCCAGTTACCTTTGTAAGCTTTCCTGGACACTTAATTTTTCTTTAGGGCATTGGTGTTTAGGTCCAGAGCCTTGAAGGCACTTATTAATATGACTAAACACTGATGATTTTAAGAAGATCTGATCCCTTTGAGAATCTTGGCTTGTACACCTCATTCCTATTAGCCTGGAGGGAGGATTCTACTCTTCTTGGTCAGCTGAATAATTTTGGCTGAGTTGTGGGATCCTAAATGACTTAAGTACGGGAACAATTAATAGTATTTTTTGGGAATCAAGTCTATGGAGTGTTGTCGCTGAAATCCCAAACTCCCTGGTTCTCCCAGAGTAAAGTTAGCTTGCAGTATGAGGGGGGTGAAATAAGACCTGCTGAAGTCAAAGCAGCCCGTTGAGCTGAGCAGAGCCCTTCACTTGGCCTGCTTCTGTGTAGCCTGGGTAATTGCCAGTTGAACAATCAGAGGGTCCTTGCACTAGGTTTGGTCAAATGCGATAGCCATTCACGAGGTCCCAGGTAGAGCCTTCCTGACAGCAGCATGGACGCTTGCTGAGTTCTCATTACAGAAACCAGCGGTATCAATGGTCTTCGTCCTGCAGTCGTTTCAGGTTTCTTTTAATCTGCTTTTTTTAATTTTATTTTGTTGTGTTTGGGGTTGTTTTCCTCCATTGGCGTGGTGTGTGGAGCACAGGGTGCCTCTGCTCCCCGTCCCACCCGCCCGAGTGCACGGCTACACCCATAAACACAGCGACCTCAGAAGTGACGTGATCAAAAGGTTTCAGATGGGCTCTGTGTGTTATGAAATGATTTGAGGCTCAAAGCCCAAAGGGGGAACTCCATCATGAATTCTCCATGTATAACTACTTTGGGAAAAGGGATTAAAGTGGGACAGAGCCTCTCTCTTTTTTCCTTCCTC